GTATTCTATAAACATTATTCTTTAAGCATTGCTACAGTGGGTGGTATCATTCTTCAGTCAGACCACTAAAGGATCATGGCAAATTTGAACTCAAAGGCATTTTGTATTTTTCTTCTAAATATATAACTCTATATAAATCCTGAAAGATCCCAGGACAACTTTCCCAGACTATTAAGTCATTATACAAGAGTTTTTCTTTCCATAGTCTAAAAACAGTGTAGCCAAAGCAAGAGCTTGAAAACAGCTGAAAACATCTCCCCAGGTTGTCAGCTAGAGCACTGAACCAGAAGATTTTAACACACATCCAATGTTTTTAGCAGCTTATTTCCAAAAAGAATGTATTTCTTTAATGTAAGAATCATTACACTCGTATTCTTAGTACCTCTTTCTGTATCCTCATTTTTCTGTAGCCATAATGCTTGGCTTATAATAATAACCTCCTTTGGAACGTGTAATTTCATATATAGTCTCTTTGGCAAGAGAGGAACAAGAAGGTTCAACTGGTAACATCTTGTAACATCTGCACTGTTAGAGGATCACGTCGAATAAACTGCAAGCCCACCTCCAAAGCATGCACTGTGTCAGTCAAGTTTATTGCAAAGTAATTTAAAACACCCAAAATCCAACAGAGCTCAAAGCTCAGAGATCACTGAGAAGCAAGTCTGAAACTCTGAGGAATTGATGGTCTCCCTCTCGGTGGATGTGGAATGCCATTAAGCCACGCACTTGCTGTCATGCCTCACTGTAAACCCCATTTATTATGCATGGCATAGTTAAATTATAACAGTAAGAAGCAAATATTGGTTATTCACTGACTCATTCTAAGGCCCAAGGTGATGCATAAGCAGACTTGCAGTGCTGTAGCTTTGGAAAGTGTTATGTTTGCCTTGAAATGCTTTCAGTGGCAATATTTCTCATGTACATACTCCGTTTGATCCTGAAAAGCTGAGAAAATGGAAAGTGTGACCCCAAGTGGTGATTTTTTTTTCCTTTTTTTTTAATAAATTTGCTGCAATGAAGAGATAATCCACCCTGTTTTAAGTTTACCAGTTTCTAATTTACCACTAATAATGTCTAGACAAAAATGCGAGAAAGTCTAAGCAATCTTCAGAGGGATTATAGTGTTTTATCAGAAAGCATCCTAATACTCACCAAGTTGGCCTAGTAAATCTGCTGTTATAATGAGTTTCTGCAGGCTATAATGAATAATATGGCATCATTTGGATTAGTGTGTTTTGTTGGTATGACACCTGTTTGCCTCTCCCTGATGGAAAATATCACAACACTGAAATCCCCCAATCTCATCTAAACTCATCTGGAAATGATATCAGAGCAGGCAAGATTCACAGTGCTCTAGGGGAAAACACGCTCATGCTGATGGAGTGACCTCATGCAAGCCTCTGTGAGAATGATGTCATTTCAATCAGGTGACCTGTGAACATCCAGATGCGCTCAATTTAATGAGACGCACACATGCATGAGAACACACACACAAAAACAAACAATCAAACACATACGTGCACTTTAGCCTGAAACTGAACCCTATGACGCAGATAAACACACCAAAACATGCAAGCAAACATGTACACACACTTTACTGTGCTGTGAGTCCACCTTTTATTTATTTAATTACTAGTTAAATGGCCATTAACCTCTCAACCACCAGCGGGCCCAAAGTTTTATTACACAATTCTATAACCTAAGAATAGCTCAGTGAGTTTGCACTGAAGTCCATGTAGTTACTGATTAATAAGCATTAGTATGTAATAAGTCTGGGTTTTTTAAACCTAATGATTTGCCTCTCTGCAAGTATTTTTGTAATAGTCTTTTTTCATTGTCAAGTTTTGATTGGAAACAAAAGCGTTAAATTCTTGAACTGAAAAAGTTATCAGGATTTCTTTATTCCATGGTATGTAGACAGATATAGCCAAGCTAGTTCATACATTGGTTAGATTTCAGGAGCTGCACTGAAGGCCTAACGTGTCAGATTAACTACTAATTTTATTAGGAACTGACAGTGGAATCAACCAGTCATATATTGTTATCCAGTTTCCAATGGGTGGGACCAACTTAGTAGGAAAAACATCACTCAAGGCCTTCTGAAAGTCCTAGATACATTACTATAGTCAGGTCTTAGAAATGGAACACAGTGTCAGCTCAATGTCAGAGCTTTTTACTGAAGGAGTCACTGTAAAACTTGTACAAGGCTAAATATTATATGTCTACTTGCTTCTTACAAGCTTCAAATGAAACATGAAATGTCTTTTAAAACATGTCTTTAATTTTGAATGGCCAAAAAAGTGAAATTAGCATTGTCTTAGAGGTGTTGGCCTTTTTTTTGTGATATTTTTGGACAAATTGAAGGCCTAACTCTAACAGTCACAGTTCACCACTGCACATACACAGACTGAACCTTATTACTCACCTAAACTAGAGAAGACAGATGGCTTGTGAACTTCTAATCAATCATCACTGTCAGAACAAAACTTTGTATCCCCATTTTTGTTGTTTTACAGAATATGAAAATATCAGCTGCCTTTCATATAGTGGTAAAATGTCATGATGAATGTAGCCTTAAAAATGCTTCAAAAAATTCTGTTCCATTAGCTTCCATTCAAAGTTAAGAATGTTTTTTCCATTTTTTAGATACGGCAACAGAATGTTTTTTTTTCCCAACAGTCTGGGCAGTTTGTTGCCTTTTTTACTTTAGACATATTTGTATTAAACAATAAATCAATTAACCATCATTGTTTTTTGACATAACCCTCTCAACCCGCACACCCCTTGTTAAACTTCACAGACCTTATTTGGCACATTTCACAAAACTGAATTGACAGCAGTGACTTGGATCCTCAGCATTGCTCTGGCTGGCCTGCTATCATTCTTTCTGGCTCCTGATGACAGAAGCCTGCAGGCAATGTGCGTGTGTGTTTGTATGTGTGACACACCAGCCCCTCAGGCTTTGGAGCTTCCACTCAGCTCCTGTGGGAGCCTTTTGCAAAGAGCTTTGCTCTTCAAAGCATACCGAGGAGATCCGCAGGCTCAAAACAATGATGCTTCATAATCGCCCATCCACAAGGGACCAATGGGTGTGCGTGGAGCACTAAATCCCCTCACAGAGAGTCCGCTGGATGGAGTTAAGGCAAGCAGAGCTTCCAGCACCCAGCAACATTCATGCGGCTTCATGATCACACTGATTTGGCTTTAATGGCTTTAAATGCCAAATGAGGCCTGAAATGACTCCAAGTCAATAAGTGATTCTAAGACATACACTGCATCTGTCTGTTAGCGCACATTAGCTTTGTTCTGAAAAGAGGGACAGGATTATCATCAGCATGTAGATGGCACATCTGTGGGATGAGACAGAGAACTAGCACTTAGGGATGGGCAATAAGGCAAAACACCTCAAAACTTGAAAACATACAACAATATTACAATACATATCGCAATATTTCATTTTTGTGAAGTTTGATATGTCGAAACATGATTATTGTTATTATACTATAACAACTCCATGTATCATTAAAAGGACACATTTAGACCAATCATGAAAGACTGTAAACAACAACAACAACCAGTGTATAGTAACCATACACACTGTGTAAAAACAAAAAGATGACTGCATTATACCGTAATCACACTTTATTAGTTTATTTCAAACTGTTTGACTTTTTTAGACTTTTTTGTTCTTTCTTTAATAGTTTACAAACTAGATATGAAATGTTTTACTTTGACCTTATTCTGAAAACTTCTTAAACAGTTGATGCAATCATGATTGGATTTAAAAGGGGAATCCAAGAAAGGCCTAGTTCTTTATGGGCGAGGATGAATTGGGGACCTGCCTTTGGGGCCCAAAGTTTTATTGACAAATCTATAACCTATGAAAAGCTCAACCAGTTTGCACTGAACTCCCTGTAGTCACTGAATAATAAGCTTTAGTATGTAATAAGCCCAGGATTACAAGGTTTTAAGACTATACTATGTACAGAAATGCCGCCTACTTCTCTGGGCTTGAGCTCATCTGAAACGGGCCAGCTGCGTGGCGGTGGAAACGGTGATCTGCCAAGTTAGCCTTTCAGATTGTTTACAATGAACACTGTGTTCTCTGGGTCAAAAAAGAAAAGGACCGTACAGATTGCTACCAGTGTAAAGTTATAGGTGTATTAGTGCCAGTGGCATGCATCTGTGATAAGTCATCATTAACACTGAAAGAACTGTACACATTTTGGAGAAATATATGCTGCACAAGATGATGTCTTCTTTAGGGACATCCATGCTTATTTCACCATGACTATGACAAAACCCATTTTGCACATGTTACAACAGCATAGCTGTATAATCAGAGAGTGCAGATGCTAGACTGGCCTGCCTGTAGCGTAGATCGTCCAGATGCATGGTCTCTCACTGAAAGTGTGTGGTGTATTATGGATTGCAAAGTACAAAAATAAAGGCCCATACAGTTGCACAACTGAAGACAGAAGAACAGTAAAATATTGGAACATGCTTTAAGCATTACATTTGGAGTGAGCTTGTATTTATTTTGCTTATTTTAGCCACACCACTGCATTTTAGAGCAGGAAGTGAGACTGCATGCCTGTCCCTCATGGCCACATGGTGAGCAGTTAGATCCCATTGTTTTGAAGAAAATGTGTTCCAAAGTCTGAAAATCAGTGTGTAACCTTAAGAATTGTCACTACCAGAACACATATTTACTGCAACTGAGTAAACTTTTGTGTTTTAATAAAAAAATGCTATAATTTTATGTGTGTACAATTGTTCAAAGCTGTGTTTGCTAGTCATGTACTGGCTGTTGTTTTTTGAGTTTTGCTCAAAATAAGCTAAAATTGCACTACCAAAATAGTCAGTACCAAAACATTTGTTAAAGTTTCAGTAGTGTTATGATTTTGTTTTGTTAGTGACAAAATGCAATGCTCAATGATTTGTTTTAATAAAACAAACTTCATTAAGGTTTAGTGTCACTCAAGCAAGGTCCAAGTCCGTTAAAAGTCTGAAATGTGTTTTCAACTCTTTATTAATCAGACACTCCACTGAACATGTCAAACTAATCATGAGTTTGTGTGGCCTGCGTATGTGTTTGCTCAGGGTAACACAAAAATCCAACAAATGTTTTCAAGTATTGTTTTACAGTTCTTTACAAACACAGATACAGTACGCAATTCATTAGCACTACAGACACATACTTAATGGAAACATCCAGCAGTACCTTTTCATGTTTTATGTTGCTTACATACATGTACTCAAATTGAGAAAGTATCCATCTAGTGGGGACCTTGTCCATTTAACTTTTTTGTTAAATTAATTACTTAATAAATACATAAATATCAGGCCAGATTAATATATAACTAAATCTATGCATGTAATGAAATAAATCATGTGTAAAAAGGGGGATAGTGACTGTCTACTAGAAAGAAAAACACTTTTTCGACTAGGACTAGGCTCTGCGTCTGGAAAGAACAGGCCCTGAAAGCTTCTATCCACTGTTGCGCAGCTGAATATTGAATGTGCTCTATTCTTTAGACTGACTGATGAATAATACATATGAATGTCATTGCAGTTAGTTACAATGGTATAAACAAGACATATTTTTCTCATCTATCTATATCCCAGTCACACCCGTGTGAGTACTGCCATCATTTCAGCTCCTCTGATGAAGCGCTAAGCTCTGCGGTCTCCTGCAACACAGACACATCATTAGTCCCGAAGCGAATGGAGAGAGGGCAGCAACACACATTCACGAAGCTCAGAATAAACCAGCAAAAAAGAAAAAGCGCACTGATTGGGTTAAAACAGAAGGGGTGTACAGGGTCCAAGAGTAGCATCTGTGGCTGTGTGATTCCTCTCTGAGGTGGTGCAAACCCACACACTGATGTGTGATGACATGTGTTGATGTGTGGCTTACCTCCAGCTTCTCCGTTTCTGGCTTCGCCGGGAGAGACTTCTGTGGTGTGTGAAAGGCCTGAGGCAAGGAGTAAATGATTCATTAGACAAATGGAGTTAGTATTAAGGAGACTTCAAAAGCACACTCTCTCGCCCAGTCTGTCTCCCTCTCTTTCTCTCTCTCTCTCTTTCTCCCTATCTGTCTCTCTCCTTTTACAGGTGGGCAGGGTTGAGTAAGTACCCACTCCAAAGGGTTGTCTACCCACCCAATGAAAAGTTGGGGGAAAACAAAGTCTTTGCTTTTTTCTATAATGGACAACTGAAAGAAACCACCAGCGAAACGATTCTCCCCTTAAAGGCAAAGTGGGATATGAGACGTACTTGCAATGTGTAGGTGCGAGCAGGCGGGGAAGGTTGGAGGGAGGTTAGACAGTTGTTCTGCTGATTGCTGATGGTGAAACAACTCTCCTCTTAGAGGCGCCAACATCCACGCTACATGGAGAGGGAAGCCAATTGTCTGGGGTGGCCAATCGGATTTCAGTGGGAAGAAAACCCCTTTAGAACTGCACATGGTGTTACCGTGTTGTCTATGACTGTAGAAAAGATGCATGAGGCTTCCTATATTGTTGGATGTATTGTGATGTTTTTCCTGTGAGAAAGTGAGCTCCTTCAGAGCACAGTGGAGATCAGTAAGCATTTAGTGTCGACTTTATAAGAGTAAAGAAGAAACACGACTGGTGCGCAAAAATGTACAACCCCATTTCCAAAAGAGTTTGGACACTGTGGAGAATGTAAATAAAAATAGGATGCAATGATATGCAAATCATATAAACCATCTTTTTAAAGGAAATACTACAAAGACAACATATTGAATGTTGAAACTTAGATATTTTATTGTTTTTTGAAAAAAATATTTGCCCATTTTGAATTTGATGCCAACAACATGATCCAAAAAAGTTTTGATGGGTGCATGTTTACCACTGTGTTTTATCACCTCTTCTTTTAACAACACTCTGTAAGTGTTTGGGAACTGAGGATACTAATTACTATAGTTTTGAAAGTGAAATGTTTTCCCGTTCTTGTTTGATATAGGATTTCAGCTGCTCAACAGTTCTGAGGCTCATTTGTCATATTTTTCATTTCCTAACCCTCCAAATGTTTTCAGTGAGTGACAGGTCTGGACTGCAGGCAGGCCAGTTTAGTGCCTGGACTCTTTTAATACAGAGCAATTCTGTTGTAATACATGAAGAATGTGGTTTGGCATTGTCTGAAAAAGACGTCGTCTGGATGGCAGCATACATTGCTTCAAAACATGTATAAATCGTTCAGCATTAATGGTGCCTTCATAGATGTGTGGGTCACCCACGCCATGTGCACTAATGCACCCCTATACCATCACAAATACTGGCTTTTGAAGTGTGCACTGATAGCAAGCTGAGTGGTCTTTAGCCCGGAGGACACAGTGTCCATGATTTCCAAAAAGAATTTTAAATGCTGATTTTTTTGGACCACAGGACACTTTTCCACTTCCCCACGGTCCATTTTATATGAGCTCAGGCCCAGAGAAGGTGGGAGCGTTTCTGGACCATGTTTATGTACAGTTTCTTCTTTTTAGAGCGTTTTAGAGTTTTAACTTGCATTTGTGGATGCAGTGATGAACTCTGTTCACAGACTGTGGTTTTCAGAAGTGTTTCTGAGCCCACACAGTGATTTCCTCTGGAGAATCATATCTGTTTTTAATGCAGTGCCACTTAAGGACCCAAAGATCATGGCCAGCAAATACTGGTTTTTGGCCTTGTCCCTTGCATACAGAGATTTTTCCAGATTCTCTAAATCTTTTAATGATATTCTGTACCGTAGATGATGAAAAGCAAAAGCTCTTTGCTATGTTACGTTTAGAAATGTCATTCTTGAATTGTTGCACTATTTGATGAGGCAGTCTTTCACAGAGTGGTGAACCCCTCCTCATCTTTGCTTCTAAAAGACTCAGCCTCTCTTTGATGCTCATTTTATACCCAATCGTGTTACTGACCTGTTGCCAATTAACCACCAGGTGTTTTTTTTAGCATTACACAACTTTACCAGCCTTTTGTTGCCCCCGTCCCAACTTTTTTGGAACATGTTGTTGGCTTCAAATTCAAAATGGGAAATATTTTTCAAAAAACAATTAAATTTCTCAGTTTCAACATTTGATATGTTGTCTTTGTACTATTTTCAGTAGAATATAGGGTTTAAATGTTTTGCACATCATTGCATTTTGTTTTTATTTACATTTTGCATGGCATCCCAACTTTTTTGGAAATGGGGTTGTAGTTTGTGAGACAAAAATCTACAAATTTTCAGTTTTGTTAGGTCACTTTCTTTTCGTATCAAATAAACACAACAACAGCACCGAGAAATTGCATTATTAAAGGAGGAAAGAAGATTAACCAGAAGAAATAGGTGCTTTTTCCCATCTACTTTAAAGGTCAGTTTCCAGCTGGACTGCTAGTTTGCTAACACTGTGCTTAACTTTTGTTGTGTGTTTAGATTTCCTTCTATCTTTTCTTTCGACAATTAAGAATAAATACGGCTTATGGCTTATTCAAAAACATGTACAGAAATCTCACTAATTCTAAAACATACAAATAGTGCTATTTACATCTGCATCTCTAAATCCTAACAACACCAATCCTGCTCCTTGCTCTCCCTCTCTCTTTCACTCTCTCTATCTCACTCTCACACACACAGATCTCTCACTCTATAAGGGAGATTTGATGTCATGTCACTAGGTGGTGCTGGACAGCCACAGAAATGATTCTTAAAGAGGGAGTGACACATACTGGCCAGACAGTGGATATCTTGACTTAACTCTTATTTAAATAACCACACTTAGTCTCTATCCAAAAACACACAACTACTTGATATTTGACTTTGATTCAATAAAGGTCAATGATATGTCCTGGCAAAAGTTTGGTGAAAAATCAAATTTATACAATTCTCCATATATCCCTAATATATTTGCTCAGGCAAGACATGTTTAGAGTTTTTTTTTGTTTGTTTGTTTTATTTTGCTTATTTAGTTTAGTGCTGAAAGGCTCATGTTGCTAACAAACACTAGAACTCAATAGTCACCCAAATTAACCAAACCATTTCCACAAAAACACATCACTGAAACTTCTCTGACCCCTCTCAGATTTAACTAACTAAGGTCACATAGGCTCTTTACAGTTACAGGGCAGCCATTTCAGACAATGCCAGGGCTGGTATTCACAAAGCATGTAAATTAGAGGACTGTTTATGGATCAGATTCCATTGCCACTTCTACTCCTGAGGCGGTCTGTGAATACAGACCCTATTATTTCAAACAGCTTCCCACAGCATTCATCTACATAGTATGGTTTTGTTTATTTTTCTAGTTTACATTGTCCGAAACCATAATGGCAGGTCTGTGGGACTTTAATTAAGACCTGGATGCAGTTTAAGTGGGTTGAGAGATGTTTTGGTGATGTATGTTTTCAGAAACAATTTGGGCTTTTTGGGTGACTATTACGTTTTAGTGTTTGTCAGAATTTGGACTCAACATGTCTTAATGCAAACATGTCTTGGCTGATTGACTACATCTAAGATAGGTGGAAATATGTGTAAATGTGTTTTTTTACCAAACTATTCCTTTAAAACCTGCATTGGTTACTCTTAGTAATGTATTGGGTATTAGAGTGAAATTAATACAACTACAGTATAGTGTCCAATGGAAATGGGCTCCATTACCTTTTTGGCTTGCTGCACCTCATCTGTGGACTTGGACCTGTTTTTGACCGTCTGCTTTTGTGGGGAAGTGGCCGATACCTGCAGAAGAAACAAAGCAACCTTGCAATACCTCTGACGATGAACACTGTACCAAATCCTTATGGATCTCTGGCTTAGCTGGAGCCCACACACCACTGTGGCTCATCACTTCAGGTACTCAAGCCCACTCCACTCACTTTATTCTCTGCTTGTTCCATGACTGTGGTCTTCTCCCAAGATCAGATCAATCAGGTGAGGCTCTGAGACCTGTGATGTGCCAGCAGGCGGTTCACTGTGAAGGAAAGACCAAAAAAGATACAGAAGCACTGGGGGTTTAACCAGTCATCTCTAAAGTAGAGATGAGCCATGGACTACATGCATCCAGTGCTGGAAGTAATTGGCCCACAGAGATTCCTGTCAGCCTGGTTTAGTGGAAGTTTTCAAAGAGTGACAGTTTACTCTCGTTCACTTGCTCTAGTGCTTGGCCCCACTGCAATGTTTGTCACCCAGTAAACTGATTACGAACCGCTCATGGCACATAGTCCAAAAAGGGTGGGTTAAATATGTATCTGAAATTTTCATGTGACCTATGAGGCTTGGCCAAGAGGAAAATAGTGCGCCCTATTTATCCCCATATTGCAATATACAAGGATCATACAGAGGCCATATGGAGATAAACTGCTTTTGGTGTCCTCCAATCAAGGAACACCAGATTCAAGTAATCCTCATCCCCATACACAAATCCTGCTCATAAAGGCCTTGGTATTTAGTTGGTGAGGTGGATCAGCAGTGTTTTGGCAGAGAATAGTTAAACAGGGCACTGGGTCCCAAAGACTGGTGCTGGTGAAACAACACCCAAAGAAACATTGAGCTTCTAGGTTAGTGGTTCCCAACCCTGGACCTGGAGTTCCCCTAGTCTGCAAGTTTTTAGTATTATGCTCTAGCACACCTGATTTGACTCATCAGCTAATTAACAAGGTCTTTCTGAGTTGACGTGGGAGTGTTACAGCAGGGAAAACATTAAAATGTGCAGGGAGTAAAGTGTTGAGAACCACTTTTCTATTTGAATTAAAATGGAAGGCCTCCGTCAGGGTGAGGAGATCATGCTAGGATAGTCATTTAACCGTTATGTGGATCATAAAAGATGATCTGCATCTGATATTTTAGGCATATTTGAATTAACATACATAACAATGCAACACTCATTGTGAGACATATCCATGTTGTCATCTGTTTGTGTCTCATTACTCTTCAGGTCTATTGCATGTTCAATAAAAACATTATTTACAAATTACAATATAATACAAGGTATATTTCATTCTTTTGTAGACACTGTGTGCATTTATGTGTTTAGACAATACTGTGCAAAAGTCAGAGACCATTCATTTAATTTCAGGTCAAAACAGCTATTAAGTACATGTTCCAGGAGATGTTTCTGAGGAGATTAAATAGGAGATAATCCACTATGAAAGAGGAAAGTCAAATGAAAATTAGTGGTAAAAAACAGGAATTTCCAAAACAGAAAATGATTAAAATATATAGAGAAAATGGATAAAAAGAAGGAAATAGATTAAAAAGAAGAACATTTGCAAATGAAAGAGAGAAGTTGCTGGTGTTCTCAGACCACTCCAAAGGCCAGAATCTCAACATCACTGAATGCATTTGGGATTATTTGGATTGTGTGAAGCAGAAAATGAAACCATGAGTAGAAAAATATTTCTGCAGATTTTCTGTTAAATACATGTTTTCTGTTTTTTCTTGATGCTGTAAAATACAACTTCCACTTAATGGCTGTTTTGACTGGAAATGAAATTAAATGAAGGATGGTCTCTGACTTTTGCACAGCACTGTAAATGGTATGGATACCCCTTTATTAAAATAACCATGCTCATCGGTAGTTTCAGTAGTACTGCACAGAACAACCTGAAAGAAGAGAAGATAAGAACTCATCCAAATAACCAATTAATATGACTTTTAAGAGCTGAGTGCAATTGTTAAATCGCTTCTGATTCAAATGACCTGACAAACTGAAGCAGATCAGCCTGTGAACAGATACCGCTGAGGTGATGAACCTGACCGTACAACAGAGTGCACCTTGCTTGTTGTGAATAAACCACCTCTGACTTTGCAGTGCTTCTTATGACTCAAGCAATTCATACTGCCTGTTGAAAATGTTCGAAGGGCATTCACATCCAAGCCTCTGCCCTGTTCACTGTGACAACACCTAGCGCGAGCATTGCAGGTCTGGGCTGTATGCGGTCTTTCTGTACATGGCACTTAGTGTTCAGCAGTTCCTTCAGAAGTATGAGTCATCAGCATTCACTACTCTCAAGGCTATTTTCTTGATAGCTCAGCAGCAGCTGCATGCTTAAGCACTTTATTGCAGTTCAAGAGCTTTGAATGCATGTGGTGGATATATAAAAACTTCATTAACGTTGCATGAAGCAGTGTTTTAGAATAATACAGTTCCTGTTCCTGTTCCTGTGACCTGAGGCAGTTGCAGTATAGCTTTTTGTGTATTTGCCTTACGTTGACTTTTAGATGAATTTTGAGTGAGTTGACTTCCAACCAATTTTAATTTTGCTTTTGAGCAGGTCTTAAACATGCTTTTCAGATCAATGTGGCTATTTTTAAGTTATAAGAGCTGCACTGAACAGCTTCAAATCAAACAGCTCTGGCATGCATTCAAATAGGTTCATGTATGCTTAATGCAGAGAAAGGCAATAAAAATCAGTCTGGGCAGCACCAGATTTCAATGGCACTTCACAATGAGCAGTCGAATTCCGTGTGCAGAGGTGAGTAATGCACAAAGCAAGAAGTTCATGTGCACGTCACCGTCTAAAAGAGGATGGACAATGACTCATCTACCCATTACCTCCTCGTACAGCACCAAACAAGCTGTGCGACAGAGAGAGAGAGAGTGAGGGAGAGTCTACATTCATTAGCTTTCTCACTGTGTTGGCACAGTAAGTGCCAACAATGCCATTCAGCGGTTATTCCAAACACAAATATGTCAGGTCGCCAACCGAGCCAAAAGCCCAGCCAGCGATGGTGCCAATGACGAGTCTCCGAACAGCCTGCATCACCAGACGGTATCACCATGGCAACAAGCAGGCACCCGGAGTCTGACAGATGAAGGAACACGAGTGTCAGGCGCTGTCCCTCCGGGGCGCATTTAGAAGACACCGACCCCATCTCCAAACTCTTTTTTCCTGCCTGACTGACTAATACATTGGGCGTACTAGAGACTGGAACTTGTGGAAGCATGTTGATTCATCTTTTGGAGAACTTTTAAAAGTCCAGGTAGCTCTGTGGGTTGGGTTGGCTTTGCTAGAAGGTTGCCAGTTCTGTTCTGGCCAAACACTAGACATAACTGACTTACAGGGTCTAGACCACTGTTCCATTCAAAAGCTCATAAGAAGAAGACGAAGGGGTGTTTTACAAAGCTTCTCTCAGCCAAAGAGCTCCTACTGGATAACCCTCAACTTTGAGCTCAAGTAACTAGCTTGCTGTTTATCTCCTGGTCGGAAATAGCAGAAATAATCAGACTTTTTTGCCCAAATTACGTCCAACTCTTAGAAGAGTTATTGGTAGAGTTATTTGAGTGTTTCCCAACCCAGTTCACCAAACAGTCCACATTTTTTATTCTAACCTCATTCCCAACACATCAGATCAAGCCATTTAGAATACTGAATACCTAGTGAAGGCATACTTGAGTTCAAGTGTGGAAATGTGGGCTGAGAAACACTGATCTTGAGAATGAACAAGGCTCTTAAGGCTAAGCTGCTCCAGGGTAGGTGTTCTTTCACCACTACCCCTGACATCTGGAATTTATTTCTGCTTGTAAAAAGAAAAGAATATGGTCTCCTTGTGCTTTCCCTATAACATGAAGCTCAATGTTTCTCTCTCTCATTACACATAATAGGGGTGTTCAGTTCTATCCTGGAGGGCTGGTGCCCAGCACAGTTTGGTGAATACTTTGCACAAACACCTGTGCTAACTGTCAGGTTTAGTGAGTGCATTTGAGCAGGGAAATCACCAAACTGTGCTGGACACTGGCCATGCAGGACTGGAGATGAACACCCCTGGCGTATACTAGTGTGGACAATGTACCTCCAAATTAAACCTCCCTAAATGGTTCTTTGCTTGAAACTGTGATTCTAAGAAATATGTTTTGGTTTAATTGGTATGACATGGAGGTTCTTCAAACACTAAAAGTTTCTTCCTACACAATCATCTCCTTTACAAAAATGACCATCCATTAAAGGTTCTTTAGGGAATCTAAAGTGGTTCTTCTGACAATCGCTCCAAAGAATCCTTTTTGGCTTTATTTAGGTGTTGGTCTGTGAACGTTACTATGCAATCCAGTGTTGGGTGGTGGATAAAGACAGTCAAGCCACAGTGAAACTGGAACAAAAATGAACAGGATTACAGGGATTCAAGGGTGGCAAAAGAAATTTCTTCTAACTCCAAAGCAATTCTAGCTCATGTTATGTTGAGAGCCAGGACCTTCATACTGGCTGACATTTATTATGTTCTAAATCACAGGTTAGTCCATGAACTCCACTAGCTCTAATCAAGGGTCTGGGCAGATCTAGCTGAATAAATACAAAGCCTTCCAGGAGAGCTGTATTTGAAGCTAAACTGCAGAAATGCCTTTTATATTTGATATATCTAAATCCATGGAGGGAATTATACACAGCCAAAGTTATCTGATCTAACAGGCTTTGATTTGACATCCAAACAACCACAAGAGAATACAGCTCTGGATTTAAACTAGAAATTCCAAATTCATTTAATTGAGCTGATCCAAGTATCAGTCTAATACCTCTTCAAGACTGATGGCCATGCTTTTGCAATGTAGCCTACAATCCAGTCCAATTCACTATGAGCAATAAGCATGTCTACTGAAACCTCCAGCACAACCTGTATACTGAGCACTTCCAAAACACAGGAAAGCAACGTGTTTCTAAACAAACTGCACAAAAAAATTGCCCAATATTCATTCAGAAGTGCAATATCCAAAGTAAAGATCAGAGTAGATGTAAATTGCTACCAAGACACCTGGCTCAGAGAGGGTGTACCTAAAAGAGTTGTACCAGCAGTGTGATGCATTTGAATGCATGCAGGAGGTTTTCCTAAATTTCAAAGAAGAAAAAGCACACAATGACAGCAAGCAACCATGTGGAAATCTGCTCATCTATCACTGTCTCATTATAGTTGCATTCAGCACAGCAAGACCATAGCAGCAATTATCACAAGAAAGCAAGCGGAGTTGACGAAAACCACTCAAAGACACTTATGTGTTTCTTACTGGGGAACAATGACACCAAATAGTGAACTTACAACACCAATAAGTTTTGAACTGAACTCTTACCTTGCTGAGGCTGTGCTGTTTAAGTCTAACTTGCAACTAGTGAGAAGTAGAGATGGAGACAGCACAGTGGAATGAGTCTAGCACAGCATTTAGAAGTGAATTGGAACAGTGAGTTTGATCTCTATGGCAAAATGCTAAATGATGAGAGAAAGAAACCTCACCTTACAGATACTCCTTCCTCTCTCTGTAACTCTCTTCTGCTAATCTCCCTTTCCTCTTTCCCTCTCTCTCTTTCTCCCTTCCTGCCCCCACCTTCCTCTCACACTCCCTCGCTCCCTCCCTCCGTCAGCTGGAGAACTGCAGGATCGTCTGAAGCTGTGAGGGTTGATTCTTACTCTGAATTTGATTAAGCCTTACCTCCTCTTCACTGTCTGTTCAGGGTGACATGAATATGTAGAGCAAAGAGACTCTCCTGAAAATGACTTTTTTCCTAGGGACAAAAAAGTGCTCTGCTTTGTGACTACTGAGAGAGAGAGAGAGATAGATAGAGAGAGAGAGAGAGATAGAGAGAGAGAGAGAGAGAGAGAGAGAGAGAGATAGAGAGAGAGAGAGAGAGAGAGATAGATAGAGAGAGAGAGAGAGAGAGAGAGAGAGAGAGAGAGAGAGAGAGAGAGTCTGCATTCCTGTGTCCGTGTTCTTGTGTGTGTGTGTGTGTGTGTGTGTGTGTGTGTGTGTGTGTCTGAGTGTGTTTTTATGCATTATCAGACAGGAAAGCGCCACAGGCAGCCATCAGCATCAGCCTGCCACCCAGATCACGCACCATCCATTATCTCTCTACCTCCTCCACTCTCCTCATTCTCCTTCTTTTGTCCTCAAGCGGTTGCATGTGAAAGAAGAGCCATCTTCGGCAGGACACAGGAGGACACATGCAACAAACTGTATTATGTAGTTCTGTGCAAAACCCTTTCTCTCTCTAGTCTTCTGCAAAGATTTCTGCTCTTGCACCTTTGATGACCCTCCATAAAGTAAGGCTACAGTTAACAGTACATAAAGTAAGCCTTCAAGTAACCCTCCATAAAGTAACCCTACAGGTAGCCCTTCAAAACAGGTCCATACAAGTAACCATTCATAAAATAAGCATACAGCAAACTCTGCATAAGGTAAACCAAAAAGAAACTCTTGATAAAGTAGCCTTCCATAAAGTAACTCTACAGACAACACTTTATCAAGTAACACTATGCATAACCCTCCATAAAGTGACTCTACAACAACACTCCATAAAGTAAACCTAAAAGTAATCCTCCATTAACCCTTGAAATGGCCAGGGCCCACCGGTGGGCCCAAAGTTTTGTTATACATTCCTTTAACCTAAGAATAGCTCAGCATATTTGCATTGACGTCCCTGTAGATACTGAACAATAAGCCTTAGTGTGTAATAAGCCTGTGATTTTAAGGAGTTACATAACTGCAAATAATCCTTCATAAAGTAACTCTACAGATAACCCTCAATCAAGAATACCTACAAGTATCCCTACATAAAGTAACACTACAAGCAGCTATCAATGGAGTAATCCTACCATTAACCCTCCTTAAAGAAACCCTACCAGTAACCTCTTCATAAAATAAGTTCTCAAGTAACAGACATAACCTTCCTTCAAGTAACCCTACAAGTAACCCTCCATAAAGTAACCCTACAAGTAACCCTCCATAAAGTAACCCTACAAGTAACCCTCCATAAAGTAACCCTACAAGTAACCCTCCATAAAGTAACCCTACAAGTAACCCTCCATAAAATAACCCTACAAGTAATCCTTTATAAGCCTAGAAGTAACGCTCCATTAAGTAACCCTACCAGTAACCCTCCATAAAATAAAATCTCAAGTAACACACATAACGCTCCTTCAAGTAACCCTACACGAAACCCTCCATTAAGTAACCCTATAAGTAACCCTCCATGAAGTAACCCTACAAGTAACCCTCCTTCAAGTAACCCTACACGAAACCCTCCATAAAGTAACCCTACAAGTAACCCCTCATAAAGTAGTCTTACAAGTAACCCTCAATAAAGCAACACTATCTCAGTAAATTTACTGAAGGACTGAGGCAAACCATCTATCAGGGATCCATTATGACTTCAATAAAAATCAAAATTCCTGAAAGACATTTCAGACGGAGTCTATTACAATAACTATTGCAGCAGAAATTTTCAAAAGGAAATACAACCAGTGTGTTCATCAAAGCAAAGAATATATTTGACATTATGATATGTTTCAAAATAAATACAATCAACTGAACATTAACACTGTCCCACATCACATCAACTGTAAACATCTTACAACATCCTCCAAAGTCCAAAAAGGTCTTTACACGTCCAAGTGTCCTCCTTCTCTAGAGATTCACATTCCTGAAGCAATCTCCATGTTCAGTGCAAGTAGTCTGAAATAAGACATCCATTTGGGCACATAGATGGCTAAAGTTCATACGACAGTTTCCCGGGCAGGGTTAGAACACTGGTTTTCAGATCTTTTCCTGTCTCCTGGCCCTGTGGAGCAGAGTGAAGACATGGGGGAATCTGTGGAGTCTCCTTCTAGTGAAGACATATTGGAGTTGGTTTCTTCCAGTGAACTCATTTGGTCTTCCACCTGTTGCTCCTCTTCCTCTGTCTCCTCCAGGGGGAGCTGGAGGAACTGAGGCAGCATCAGGTGCTCTTTGCTCAGGAGACCTCGCTGGTCATCAGCACTGCAGCACTGAGCTCGATTCAGTAGCTCCACCAGCCCTGCAACAGTTTTACCCAAAGCAGACATAGCAGAGGTTATTTATGGACAGTAGATACTAGCAGGGCTGGGCAAGATGCCGATATTATATTGCTGCTGTCAGTTTTTGGTATTATTTAAAAATGTCTGTTGCTCTTTACATTGTGTGTAAATTTCATGATGAATGGCCCAAAATGACTTAGAAAAAAGGTCTGGTTCCATTGACTTACACTAAAAGTAAAGTAGGTTTTTTCCTGTTCCTGTAAAGTTATCATTTTGGACAAGGTTTTCTTCCACAACAGCGATATATTTTCTGATTATATCATGCGTAACATCAGTACTTCTACAACACTAAACAACTGTATGTATCATTAAAAAGACACATTTTGATTAATTTTAGAGAGCATGTACACGACAAGCAGTGTATTTAAACTACAAAAATTGCATAGTAACAAGTTTGAACATTAAAATTATTTTAATAATTTTCTTTTTACACATTTTTTTACCAGTTACCAATTTTTCCTCCTTTTCCTAGCTTATTTAAGCTAACATTAAGTTAAAAAAAAATAAATGTGACTTTTTTTTAATATGGCACTACTGTTTTGTATTTTCCAAAAAAATCATGATACATATTAAAATGTCTTCATGTTTTGTGATAAGGCGATCTGAAATTGTAAATTTTTACCTTCCATATCGTAGGTTCTCCGCACGATAGGGTTCTTCTGTTTGGGATTTGATCTGTAGACACTTGAGGGGCTCATGTCAATATCAACAGCACCTCTGCGGGCCTGGAAACAAATCAAAGAAAAAATGGCACTTAAAGAACATATTTTCATGTTTTCAAGATAAAAAAGGTGAATATACAAATATACAAATATTGTCCTTAGTGAATTTACTATTTAAATTAAACTGCAGTTGTATTATTCAGTTATTGGTCTTAATCTTATAGGTAATTACTATGAAACTATTGTGTTTCACAGTGTGCTTCAGTTAAGGTTTAAGGAGTTAATTTGTCTATTCAGATAATAAGGATTAGTGCTTTTTCACTATAATACTATCAGATTCACCTGAAGAGCAGGAGCTGGAGTTGCCTTCAAGCTGAGGGCCTGGTCAACACCTGGGAAAGAAATTCATTAAGAGACAGATTCTAGTGGGCAACGTTTCCTGTGGACTGCATGCATGTGAATTTTACAAGTATTTATTAAAAAGATAATACAGAAACCACTCCAGTGTAGTACAAATAGAGTAGTGTAGTATATAAGGTTTAGCTTTGCACAGGGACACAGTGGAAGGGCTCCAAACAATGCAAATTCATGGTGACATGTGTGCTACACAGGCACTCGCTCCTAACCCTCTTACATGGTGGAGACAAACTACTAGCCCTACTGCTGTTATGCTCAGGCAAAAGATAAGCAGAAATGCCAAGAGACAATGCAGTCCATTTGCCAGTGGATTTACTGATAGACGCAAATGTGTCAATGGGAATCTCGGTACCTTAAGGCTATGTGGTAAGACTGCAGTGAGAATTCATGTCAAGAAAACTGTGGTCCTTTCTGGTGAAATCAAGCCATAAGACAAATTCACAAATACCTTTTATGCTGTCCAGGGTTAGTGTCTTGTTGGCCAGGTTGGTGACGATTGTGTTCATGTTTATAGGCTCTTTGTTTCCTTTCTGAAAGAGCGGAAGAGAATAAATAGGATGAGACATGAAGGAAAATTTCTACAAACATATCAAACATTTAAGCCATTCCTTGCATGCTGTACCCATTGAAAGATCTGTCCCATATAAACACTGTTCTGTTTTCTAAAGATCAAAATCCATTAAATGGAAAAAATACAAGGACATGAAAAAGCAATCTCTCTGTATGAAAGCTTTGTTGTGCTAAGGAAAGGTCAAATTGCTTTCTTCGAACAAAGGACTGAACAAAATGGTTTGCTCCAATCATTCGCAGGAAGTGCTCACCATGGTGATGATGGTGTCCTGTGGGCGGAGGCGGTGCTTTTGGAGCACTGAGGCCAGCGCCTCCTGGAGGGTCTTATTGGATTTCACCATGATAGCTATCTGCTTACCTGTGAATGCCACCTCCACACTGTATAACACACAATACGCAAAGTTAGTACCAGAAAACTACTAAACACTGTTAAAGAGAGTCATCTTAAATTGTAGACTTTCTCACAGGGTTAGTTCCATCCAGTCCCAATTAGCTTCAACTCTGTCTCATGTCTAATTAACAAGCCCTTCATAAGTTGAACTGGGTGTGTTAGATCAGGGAACAGAGTAAAATGTGCAGGACAGGGGTACTCCAGGACCAGACACCCAGACTGGCTAGAATATATTGATATAGCAATGGTACAGTCTTCTATTACAGACTTTGAATCTAGTTTCCCGTCTAGTTTTTCACAATCCCTGGTAGTTAGATGGAAATTCCATCAATTTTTCAAAATGTCCTCATAATTCAATCATTGAGATGCAAACAAAGTCAACCAGAGTGGTTTGATGTTACGCAGTGCATTGTAGAGCAGCTTAC